GGTCGGTAAATCAAGATACAATAAAATGGGTCAGTGTGTCCAACCTTACTCATTTGAAGCTCAAACGAGCTAAAACTATCCGTGTTCATTAGCCTGCAACGAAAACGGCTCCGGAAAAGGAGCGCAAGACCACCTCCTCGCCGCGAAACCCGCAGGGTCCCAAACACGGAGCAGTCCGGAGGACAAAGTTCCTTCAGGTGGGAGTAGTCTTGCTCCCGCTGCCAGGTCTCCATCAAAAACAAGAAATCCAAACACTCTCTGATGAAAAAGTCATTCAGGATAAACACCTTGGTGGCTATAGAGCAGGCATTAAGTAGAGCAATCCTAACCGACAGAACAGGTCGACCAGCTAGATCACTCTAAGTCGACAACACAACGTCGTCACTTTCCATGCGACAGGCAGTAATGGGACGCAAATCACGCTCCCGTATCGCCAGAGAGCGGACACCCCTCGACGAGAAACTCTGGTATGGCAAAAGCCCTCTAGCTCGTTGCCTCCTCTGCCTCACCTGTACTCCAGCCCTGCAACCCCGCCTTCTCCTTCTACCGCAGGGCTTGGTCAATAACAAGTACTCTGGTGAAGATGTGGAACACTCAAAAGTCAGAAGGAAAAACTCCGGGTACTTAGCCCCAAGAATACTCCAGTTCTCCATATGCTCCTTAATGTGGAATAACGTGTCCCGGTCATAAGTCAAAACAGCAGAAACACAAGTACTTACTGACAGAGCTGATAAAGTAAAGTAAAATACTAAAAAACCCACAACCAGGCGAGAAAACACAGGAGGAGCAAGGGCAAAGCCAGTCACAGGCGCCATCTTGCCCCCAAGCACAATTACCTTCATGTTGGAAGTGCACATTGTGAATATTGTAGGTGAATATTGTAGAGCAGGAAGTAGCAAAGAGTAGAAAGGATGAGGTGAGGAAGGCTCTGAGGAGAATGAAGAATGGAAAGTCTGTTGGTCCAGACGACATACCTGTAGACTGCAAGGGCTTTAGTATCATCAACACACTAACGCTAAAATAAAAAGGGGTGGTTCCAGTCATTTTAAGGACAGTACACAGTGGAAGCACTCTACATATGCCGTCCTTCAGGAGTTACACTTTCTCAGTGTATTTAGTGTGTAGTGCAGGTCACACTGTCATCATTTCCTCCAGTGAGATGTGGGTAAACAGTGCAGTCTCTCACAAAGCAAACAAAATACATGATTTAAATGTGCATGAGTATGTGTGCAACATGTTATGTCTTGTTTGGGTCATGAGGTGATGGCTCATGACTGTGCAGCCGGTGTATGTAACTGTCACAGCAGGTGGAGGAACAGCTCAGGTCAGCTGTTTTGGGGACAAGGTCAGACCGGCCAGATTGAGATGGTTTGGACATGTGCAGAGGAGGGATAGTGGTTATATTGGTAGAAGGATGTTGGAGATGGAGCTGCCAGGCAAGAGGTCGAGAGGAAGGCCAAAGAGGAGATATATGGATGTGCTAAAAGAGGACATGAAGTTAATTGGGGTGAGAGTAGAGGATGCCGAGGATAGAGTTAGTGGAAACAGATGATTCGCTGTGGTGACCCCTAAAGGGAACAGCCGAAAGAAGCCTCACCTGAAATGCTGAAGATGCACCTGTTTCTACCCTGTCCATAATGATTTTGGTGACACTACTGTCTAACAAAAAAGCTGTTGAATATTTTTCCAATAAAAATTCACCAAAATTATAGAAAAGGGAAGAAAAAGCCTATTTTTTCCAAAGTAAATGTTGTGGTACAATCAGTTAGTGAAAATTTTTCCTGGGTCAGATCAGGATCAGTGCAAGTCCTTTTGCAAGTCAAAAATTAGAAACAAAGATAAAGTGGAAAATGATTCTGATACGACTTTTTCGACCCTATCTGTGAGAAATTGCAGCTAAAAAAGTAGTATGACACTGGAAATGAGTATTGGTGGACATTATGGATATGACTGAAACCAAGTCACAAGAAGTGGCAGTATTTTGTAAGATAAGAACTCACTATTTCACTTTCAACTTCTAACAATAAGGTCTGTAGTAGGTACAAATTTTTATAAGAACATATGTGATACTACACCCAACAGCTGAGGAAAATAAGTGTATGCAAGGAGAAAACAGAGGCAAGTTTAACAGTGTCTAGGTAGCAGGTGGCAGAACTGCAGCTCTCCATATCTATCCCCAGCACAGCGGTATTAACTAGGTCAACAGAAACTAACAAAAAGGGCTGCATGGTGGTGCAGTGATTAGCACAACAAGAAGGTTCCGGGTTCAAGCCAGAGCCTTTGTGCAAATAGTTTCAGGTTCTCCCCATGCCTGTGCAAGATTTCTCTGGATCCTCTGGCTTCTTCCCACAATCCAAAGACTGTTGACACTAAACTGCCCGTAGGTGTGAATCGTCATCCATCTCAACCATACAAGACTCACAACCTAATTAGGATGTAACCCTTTTTGCCTCTCGCCCAAGTGTTATCTGCCCAAAGAAATTCTTGTTGAGTAGTTGTTCTGTCTGGTAAGTGTACAAAACAAAAACTAGCCTGGCTGCTGTGGTATATATGTGTCCTGCTGTGTGTCAACTCACCTGGGAAAAGCATCGAAGCAGTAAGTCTTGCGTGTATCAGGGAAGGCCACCCGTAGTCCTGACATGAGTGGTGAGTGTAGGATGACAGCAGCGCATTCATAGCGAGCAGCCAGGTCAATGGTGGGCACAGTGCCGATGCTCTGACCATAGAGGATGATGTTCTCAGGTGTTACACCATACCTGTATAACAACACACATACAATCCAGAATCATTTATAAAGCAATTAAACACAGAAGAAACAGCACAACAATATTCTGTAAAAGCTATTAAAAACTAGAACAAAAACAGCACTTGACAGTAAGAAGCAACTTAAGTGCATGTTCTGTAAGTGTATATTTGCATGTGTATTATGAAACCGGTTTGAGCGAAAGTGCACCACTGCAATACTGCTGAGCCCTCCGAGCACATACAGAGACACAGCCCTGGGTTATAAACAGCTGCCCATTCACTGACAACGGAAACTGAGTGCTGTCACTCAGTCCACCCCACTGTTTGAGACAGGGACTGAAGGAGCCCCCCGAGATGACCATAGCCCACAGGATCTACTCTGTGCAGCAACAGCTGGGCAAAAGCCTGATTGCAGAGATTTAGAGCCTGGCTCAAAGATGGTATCTGTAGGACTGATATTATGCCACTTTATGAAGTTTTGGCATTTTTTAGATGAAAAAGTAACCACTTAAATTGAAAATGTGTGGGTAGCCTATCCAAGAAATCACAATTTAGAAATTTGTTCCGACATTTTCAGAGATGTGGAAGGTTGAGATAAGAACTAGTTCAAGGTCCTAAGATGTTCAGAAACAGCTTGGGCAAGAAATTTTTACCATTCTCTCTCTTATTACTTAGAAGATCAGTGTCTCATCTAATTCTTGATAATAATATTGATCCTGTTCCACTGCAAAATGGTTGGTGACTTATCCAAATATGTCTGTTACCATAAAAACGTAGAGGGCCGTTCCTGGTAGGCTAGTGGTTAAGGCACCGCGCTCTCGCTGCTGTGCCCGGGTTCGAATCAGGGTTGCGTCAGGAAGGGCATCCGGCGTAAAACACGTGCCAAATGTCTACATGCAAGTGCGTCGGTGTGACGATTCACTGTGGCAACTCCTATACGCAAAAAGCCGAAAGTGACTTTCTTTACCATAAAAATGTAGAGGAAAGGCATTGCCTCTAGTAACATCTGTAGAATTGCACCTACAGCCAGCTAACTAATGCTGTGTTTCCACTATCTAATGAGTGGTATAACCCATACTTCTCTTAACCATCACCAAGCATTGCCTGTGTGTTTACACACAGTGCTTGTAATGCTAATGCTTGAGGTGTGAAGATGCACACATTTAACCAGTCATGGGTGACTGCTCTGTGTGCACGCACTCCCTGCCCCTCACAGTCCTGGTACTTGATTTTAGCACCATCTCCTGAGGAATGCTGAATTTCAGGTCCCAGAAGGAACCTCCACAGCAGGCCGACTGTAGTGGAAACAAACGCAGAACTTGTGGTGAGCATTACTTGGCTTGACATGTTTTGGTAGGCTCCTAAAACGGAAAAACCCTTTAGTATACCAAGTTACTAAGCTCTTAAAAGGTCATATTAACTAGAGTTTAAAGAGCCCATGGCTGCTTATTTTGCTCATTTTCAGCCATTTACTGTTTAATCTTGGGTACCTCTAGGTTATCTTTGCACCATCATAACTCCAAATAGTCTGTGACTATTTCAGAATGATAAAACCCAAGTGCCTTCTCCCTGACAATGAAAGGACAGTTTGTGAATGCATACAACTCCTGTTGCCAGTGTTGTGGTGAAATCTGTTTCCCCTTCGACACACATTTCCCGTGACCTGAACCCTCACATTATCCTAACTACATTCACTGAGGGGGGTGCTACATGAAACAGAGTTTTGAACAGGGGAAACATATCTCAACAGGGGAACATGTTTCAACACAAGACCGGTCAGGAAGCCAGTAACGCATAAATGAAAAACATTGACAAATAAGCTACATTATTGACAATACCTCAAATCCTACCTGACATATTTAAGTCAGAATATGAAAGTGGACAGCACAACAAACCTCAACAGCATTCATTAATTTGAATTTCTCCTCCAAGACTTTATATAGTCTTAACAGCGAGAGTTCATGAGACTTGTATAAACAGAGTTGCTTCTGCACAGATGTACAAAACATAGGTACGCCATGTTTTTTGAGCTTTCAGTCACATCTACGATGATAATTCACTGTTGTAACATTGTAGATACATGAGAAAACACAGAAAAGCATGCCATGGGCTCTTTAAGAGTGTTTCAGCATCAACATTCACAACCAAAATTTACTAAAGAAAATATGCACATCTGGTATTCCTGATTCAGGTACACGATACAAAAGTATATGATAAGTAAAATGCAACAGCATGGCTATTTGATGTCTCTCTCGCTTTAAGTGCTGTAGGATGAAAGGCAGAACGGACAGAAAACAGGCCTGTCGGCCAGGGAATGGAGGAGAGTGGGGACAACATTTTCCCTTGCCAGAACTCACAATCTGAGGAGGAAGCTTGAAGCAAACCCTCCCATCTCCTGACAGCGGTGGGAATGCAGAGAGAAGCTAGCAGAAACATTCAGCAGTCCTTTGCCACACCACACACAGAGAGATAGATTAAACCTTTGCATAACAGACAGCCACGACAAAGGGTTTGGACAAGAGGTACAATAGTGTATATATCCTATGAAGTGATGCCATAATGACAGCTCTTCAGATAACAGCTTGGGTGTGACTAATGTTCTGGCCTAGACAAATCCGGTCTCTGATAAGCAGCAACTGAACTGAACAGGCATCCCGATAGGAGATTATGACCCCACACATGGATGAACAAGGTACCCAATGGCTGCCAGCTGACTTCCAAGACACTGGACAGTGAAGTACACAACTTTGAGGATAATTGTAGCCACAACTAGAATTACTGCTGCCAACAAAATTGGAGATAATACATAGTCAGCATCGGTTGTTCTGCTTAAGAGAAGGATTAAGATTTTAAAGTCTTATGATCCCACTGAGATTACTAAAAATATCAATTTTCTAATTAATTGCAATTCTTGTTTGAACAACTCCATTATCAATTCCTGACATCCCAAGATCTATTTTAGCATTGGTTCCTTTTCTCAGTAAGCATGTACAACTGTACTAAATGTTAAGTGGTGCTGTTCGAAGTGCTAGTGTATAAAATGTATTCTTTGTAGAAAAGAAGTTGTTACAAAGTGAAACACAAAAGTCTAAGTTATTAAGTAACATTAACCACAAACATGGCGCCCACCGAGGCGGACATGTTTGCGCATTCCACTCTCGAATGCCTGCTTTTTTTCTTCTTTTTTGTGTGTTTTTTTACTTTTTCTGCAGTGCACAAATGGCATGCACTGCTAACATACAACAGACAGGCATTGCTGGATATCGCCAACTCACCCAGCCACTGGGAATTTACTGGTTTTATACCACCGGAGCTACAACTCATTGGCCACTCCCGCAGCAACAACAACAACAACGACTAAATCCACCATCACCCTCAGGGAGCCCCCGGAGCACAAGGCACAAGCGAACAGGCTGAAATCAGGAGAGCAACCCGGAGACGGAGACGCAAGCGAGGAGGACTCCATGCTAGGCTAAAAGCTTGCGCTACTTGCCCGCCATTACCCAGCCACTAACGTACAATCTCTTGAAAACAAACTGGACAAGCTAAGGGCTAGGATTACAGCACACCGGGAAATCAGAGAATGCTGTGCTCTAATTCTCACTGAGACTTGGCTTTCTGACAGAGTCCCCGATTCCGCAATTCAGCTACAAACACACTGTACATCGAGGTGACTGCACTGCTGCTTCGGGGAAGGTAAAAGGAGACGGTATGTGTGTGTGTGTTTATCAATAACTCGTGGAGTGGAGCTGTACGAACTGTTTATAAGCAGACAAAGAATTTTTATTGCTGAAATGCTGGCCCTATTATATAGCAAGAGAGCACAGTGCTGTGTTTCTGGCTGCTGTGTATGTTAGCCCACGAGCTAATCCCTCTGCAGCTCTCAGCAAACATTGATGTCATCAGCACACTAGAAAAAGCACACCCCGATGCTATATTTCTCGCTGCAGGCGACTTTAACCAGTGCAATTAACGGACTGTACTTCCCAAATATTACATGTGAGAATTCCACCCAGGGCAAGAACACTCTGGATCATGTTTACAGTAAAATACGTGGTGCACACAGGGCTGCACCCCACCCCCACCTTGGACACTCAGACCACATTTCTTTGTTCCTGTATCCATCTTACAGACAAAGACTGAAACAAACAAACCCTGTCACCAAACAAATTAAACTCTGGACCCCAGAGACTGAAGGCACCCTGCAGGACTGTTTCGCCCAGACAGACTGGGATGTGTTTAAAGCTGCAGCCACCTCGGAGGACT